TTGGCTGAGTAAAGTAAAACCTTTGTCTCTAGTTTTACACGTGGGAACCCCTCCTTTCCCCCCTGGAATACACACACACACACACACACACACACACACACACTCATTTCACAAGGATTAGGAGAACGGAAAAAACTCTAATGCAGAGAGAGAGAGAAAAGAAGGAGGCAGATGACTTTACAAGAGTTGAATAGAGGAAACGAGAAAGCACACCAATCAATCACATGGAGGATGGGTAGGCTGCATACTTCTGTTCTCCTCCTTTTACAGCACAAGGGCAAGCGGACATTCATTGGATCTGAAAGGCAACGAGTTTAAGCTGAGCAAAGAAAATACCTTTCCCCCCACCTCACACAAGGCATAGCCAGACTGTGCTTTCTGCCCCAGGATGCCATGCAAACACTTGAAAAGGAGGCTTAAAGGAGGGATATAAAGCCACCTGTTTTCAGGCTGAAACCTATCCCTATTAGGAAAAGACTTTCATGGAGGACATGGTATCCCACATCTGCCTGCCGCAGGGTTTCTTGCACCCCCTCTGAGAAACAGCTGATGCTAACAATCACCAGAGATGGCAACTGCACTACACAAGTCTCGGGGCCTGCCCAATACAATGATTCTTAGCTTCACAAAGACACAGCACTGCAAGTTCACAGCTAGTCTGCTTTTCTCCATCACCCGCAGGTCCTTCCAGACAGCTGTCTGGAACCAAACTGCATCCATGCTGTTTATTTCCTTTCCCTAGGTGTATGAATTTACATCTATTAGTACCAAACTGCATCTCATTGCATTCAGCTCACTGATCTGAATTTTCCTGGCCACTTTGCCATTTGGATTTGTGCTAATAAATAATTCACTGTTTTAGGTTAGTTTGTTTTCCTCATGATTTCTCTGGTGCTGGCAAATTCAATTGCAATTCAATCAACACCTTTCTCTAGCACGTTGATGAAATTGTAAAATAATATAGATCCCATTACTGTCCCATACAGGACCGCTCCGCTCCCCCGATACTGCTGCCTCCGGAAGGTCTCTGTATTCAGATTTTGTTTGTGAACCCAGTAGTATCAGACTTGTACCTATGCAGCTTTGAGGTTATTATTTATGCATTTATTTATTACAGCACTATGCTGAATTGTGAATTACCAGCGCAGTGACCTAGAAACCCAATGGGACTCACCACACCACTCAAGTTCCTTATTGAAATTCACACACGCTATGCCCAGTAGCTTCTCTAACAACTGCACCAGCAGTTCCAAAGAAGGCAATTACATTAGCTGGCCCGAGCGTCTCAGACGCTTCTTTCCTACCCCGGCTTGCCTTTACAGGTGCCAGGCACTCTACCTCACTACCATGATCAATAAGAATTCTTTCCAGAAGTCCTCCTTAGATCTACTAATAGGTGCTGAACAGAACAGTAGGAGATGTTTCTTTTGGCATCCTTAGGTCAATAATGCTGGATGCCAGGAAGGATAACGAATAGAGAGCAGGGCACTCTCAACACATCCAATTCAATGTTCTCCCTCCAAGATTTCCATTTCTGCCATCGTCGGAGACATGATACCAGGCTAGATAGGCCACTGGCCCGACTGCTTACGTTCTGATGTTTTCTTTGCCAAGGCCTTGTCCTGCACCCATAAAAGTCAAAGCCAGTGACAAAGCTCCAATGAGAACAGGATCAAAACCAGAATGTTTTAAAAACCCTTGGCATGAAACTTGCTCTGGTCTCTGCTCTTAACTCTCTCCCTTTGCTTTCCTAGGCTAGGCCACTCTTTTGCATAGCCCTAATATCAGCCTGTTAGTCCTCATAGGTTTGCAACCTTATTTCTACCTCAGCAAGTTGCTACCCCCCCAAAACACCAAAGAAAGATTGCAGCGTAGGAGTCAGATGCATCTCCAGAGAATCGATGTAAAATAAATTGTTGGGTATTAGCGACATGCTCCAACAGAACATCGTGGTGACTGTTGATGAAAATAAGTGCATCGTGGTGCACGGATGAGAGCACAAGGGGTTCAGGCTTTTACTTTCATAATGACAGTACTCAATTCTGAAATTAATCACAGCAGGGGGGAAGATCTTGCATGGATTTCAAGAGACAGACATCTGTGCTTGAAACAAGTTTTTGCAAGCTGATTTGCCCACCGCCCCTTCACATTAAACACACGCAGGTGCATGCACACACACATACACACACACAAAGCAAGAAACTCAAAACAAGGTTACCATTTGCCAATGATCTTATTGACATATCCTGCTTTCTTCAGCAGCTCTGGAAGCAGTAGCTCAGAATCTGGGATCCCCCCTACTATTTCCTGTGGTGCGTAGGCTGTGCAAAACAAAACCATGGATTTTTGACTCTTCACTCACATTGGAAAGCAGGCCATGAAAGCTTTTGGCCACTCATCAGAAGCATCATTTAACTTGATCAGAAATTTGGATGAGCCACCAATGCTGTTTTTGTGGATTCAACTCTCCCAAGCCAGGAAGTAATGAGGCCAAGCTCCCTCAGCAATTCTGCCATCACAGAAAAGGAAGCCTTTCACGCTGCTCCGCACTGTGACCAACATTCAGAACCAGGGGTTGAACCCAGCTGTTGTTGGCTAACCTAAGGATGCAGGTCCCTTGGAAAGGAGTGGCCACGAGGACAGCGAATGCCAGAGGGCTCAAGTGGGGCAGTGAGACTTTTACTTCTGCCAAGCTGCCTGGAAACATCTAGAATTTGTGGCTTCTTCTAAATCAAACGATAAATGTAAGGATACGTAAACACCCAAAGTGCACTGGCAGATCCAAAACAGAGCCTCTCGCATAGTAATGGTAAGAGAGTCCTCACTTTACTAGGTGAAAAGATCAAAGCTTCATCCCAGCTTACCCACGCAGTAGGCTCAAACAGTCAGAGCAGGCCAGTTTCCATAGCAGCCAACAAGACTGGCAGCACATCTGGATGCCTCCAAAGCCCCAGCTTGACGTACCAGCTACCCACGAGAGCTGGGTCAGCTCAGGCTGCAGTGACATGCCTTTACTTGCTCTGCCGTAGCACCCTATCATTTAGCTATGGGACACCCAAATACATTTGAATGGAATGATACACAGCTGTAAGCGTGTGTCCACGTGGACGTGGTCTCAGGGCCCCCGTTACTTTGGAACCAGTGACACTAACTAAATTAACCCAAAAGCAAAGTGAGCTGGTATTTTCCTTCAAGACCTTTGTGGGAGAGCTCTCTTTCCAGGCAGTGAAGTACTACAGAACTGCCCATTCTTAACTAGCTGAGAAGGTTTTATTTCCACATGATTGGGTTTTCAACAGCTTTTCCTTAACCTACCCCATTAATGCCACTTCCAGCATGACTTTCCTCTTTCACTGAATGTCGATTAGGCTGCGCAAGGAAACATCTCCTCAGCCAGCAGAAGCAAACAGATTAACAACTCAACTTAAGTCTTTTTATTTAATGGGAACATTTGGAGATGTTTTCCCTTTTCAGCATCGAGAGTAGGAAGCAATAAGTCTCACACCTGTTCCTATTAACTGGAGTGGCACTGCATGCCAATCCCTTTGTGTTGCTCTGAAAACGTGCTTCTTGGAGGGTAGATGAAGGAAAAGCACAAAGCCAACCCCCAATTTTTAGCAACACCTGCTGCAGAGGCATAGAAAAGGTAGAGAAAGTGTGTGTCTAGGAGGAGCGGCACCAATGTTCTTACCATTTCTAGCATGTGCGTTTGTGGTGTAGAAGCCATTCCTGATAGGGAGGCGGCCAGTCAACAGAGCTGCCCTTGCTGCAGAGAAAATATGCCAAACAGAGGACACACAGAGAGAGTGTTTAGTACTGATTGTCAGCTTTGTGGCGTCACATTTTGGCTGGTGACTGCCAGACTGGTGCTTAGGAGGAACTTCCTGCCACTGCCTACTGCCATGTTACTGTTCCTCACCTCTTACATTAGATTACGTGGCAAATTTCATCCCACTGCTCTAGCATCAAGTCAAAGTGATGCTAGTGGAGTTAATGTAGCTGTGCCCATTAGAATGAGGTTGGGACCTGGGCCCTTACATGCAGAAAGCACTTTACCCACAGCTGAAATGCAAGTGCCTTTGGGAAGGAAACACAGCAGCCCTTCTGCTCCAGCACCTTTAAACAACAGAACCTCTAGAGAAGGGAGAAGGCAGTGAGCCGGGGGTGGACACTTCGCATAAATCAGTCATTCACTTCATTTAAAGTGGATTATCTTGCCTTGGCACAAACATTTATCTACTCCTACTGTGAACAGAAAAGGAAGATGTCCAACTAAAGCACAACAGACAGTAGGGCCCCAACTCAGGAAAGTATTTAAGCAGATGCTCAACTTTTTAAAGCATGTACTTAAGACCTGCTGCTGTCAATGGATTAGGTAGGTGTTTCAGTGCTTTTCCTGAATCTCGATGGACTGAAACATTTAACCGTGTGCTTCCTGAAAGGGAACCCAGCAGGAAAGCTCTTGGGTTTGCCTTTATTTTTCATGTGTCAGCTGGAAATGAGGAAAAAACTAGCACTGGGGACAAAGATTCAAAATCAGCATGTCTGGAGACCTGAAAGGTTTTGCTCCTCTATGCCCTCTCTGAGCACCTTAACCATCAACAATGACAGCCAGGAATCCAAGTTGCTCCATGTAGAAAAGTCAGTGGGAGTGCTGCGTAAAAAAGAATCAGGCCCAGGGTAAACTTTTTTGTTCAACCCATGTGTAGATATGACTGCTCAGCTTCCTAAAGACAAAAATACTTTTGTGGCTGAGGCCAGAGGGCTAAAACGCAATAAATAAATAAAAAAAGAAGACAGTCTCTCACTGGAGTGTTTTGCTGGCTAAATTACTGCTTTGTACAAAATGGATGAATGTGGTTTTTCCCCCTTAAATAAATAAAATAAGGAAACAAAACACAAGATCAAAGCATCAAACCCCAACGCTGCCTTCAGGGTAATCACTGCTTTGGTTAATAGCTTGTGTCAGATGCTGGCAAACATCCCAACCTTCTCAGAAGGTGGCAATTTCACATGCTAGTTTAAAAGTGAAGTTTACTTACATGGGGAGCACAGAGGGTTAGCAGTGTAGAAATTTGGGAAGAGCATCCCTTCTGCAGCCATCTGGTCTAAATTAGGGGTTTCTTTAGAAGGCTCTCCAAATGCTCCCAAATCGCCCCAGCCCATCTGCAGAAAGCAAGCACCGACAAGATGTGAGAACAGCTTGACCTCTGCATAAGCTACTGTACGGCCTTCCGGACCAGCTTTGCTTTTTTACGATAATTCACCCAGATACAGGCTAAGTCATCACTGTATACAGGCACCTCGCGCACACGACCTGAATTTATCCTCACTACCCCCCACGAAACAGGGAGCCATTACGATCTCCATTGACAGACAGAGAGAAAGTGATTGAGTGACTTACCAACAGTTCCCCACAATAAATCTATCACTAAGCCGGAAGCAAAAACTCAGCCCCTTCAGCCCTCCTCCATCCTCTTGATCATAAGGCCACCTATCCCATCCCCACCTTTTAAACGACTGTACATAGCCAGTCAGAAGTGCTCGGTGAAAGGCTAGGTCAAAAGGCGGAATAAGGACACGAGAGAGGTTTTTAAAGCAAAACGACTGAAAGAAGCGTGCTGTCCTCACCCTCATCATCACTTCACTCTGCAGGCTGATAGGCTCACCATGGCGCACCTCCAAGCCTTTATCTCAAGCAATGTGACCACGTAGCTCCTGCCTAGGAACTCTAGAAAATTACCAACCCATTTGCCTAATTTCAGTACTGAAAAATAATATGGAAGCAAATAAAAATAAGTGACTCAAGCTATCAGCTCCTAGAAGAGAACAACTTAATGAGCACTTAGGCACTATGGTTTCATAAAGATGATATTGTGCCTTGGAAACTCAACAGCTTTCTTTAATTCAGTTGTGTGTCAGGTGGGCAATTGAAACACAGGGCATAATCTATCTAGGTCTTGAGAAAGCTTTTAGTGTAGTCCCGCTTGAGAGTCTAATAGAAGTATCAGAATGATGCAGCTTGGAAGAGACCGTTGTGGAACAGGTACGGAGCTGGCTGATGGATCGTGAAAAGAGAGCAATTAAATGGTACAACATAAAACCAAGAAGTGGAATTAAGAGGGGTTCTGCAGGGGTCAACGCCGTGTTCTGCGTCGTTCAGCATCTTTACTAGCGATAAGGAAGGAGGAAAGAGTCGTACGTTGATCAAATCCCGATGCAAGCGCAGGCGGCAAAGGAATTACAGAAAAATCAGGGAAGGCAGCAGAGGCACCCGGGAATTTATTATTTATATTACTGCCATGTTCGCAGGTTCCTATTGGGATCCGTGCATGATTATGCCTGATGCTGCGCAAACACATCTGAAGGGATTATCCCGGTCTCAAAGGTCTTTCCGTCAGAAAATTAAAAGATTCACTTGGGGAAAAATAATTCGGAGTGGGAAGCTGCTGGGCAGATGGCTGGAATGCAGGGGGGAAGCTGGAGGATTTTACGGCCTGGCCGGTGAAACCAGCCAACTGCAGAGGGAGGCAAAAACTCTTCAATGTAGGGGTAGCAACAGTGTATTTGCACTGTTATAGCGGAGCCAGACAGGAGAGAGCGGAGTTGGGCACACCTCTTCTGTCCCTCATGTACCCTCACTTTGTTTTAAGCTTCTTGAAGAAGCTCTGTGCAATACATTTGCACCAAGCATGGATCTGGGGGAATAAAAGAAGGAATTGGAAACCTGGAGACATTGCCAAATGACTAGTAATTTAGCGATGTGACTAACTGCCTGAGAAGGAGACTGCGTTTCACCTGCAGTTGCTTTTGCTCCCGATTTACCCAGCGTGTTCTCTGCTCCGACGCAGGAAATGAACGAAATCAGTTTCTTTTTTGTTCGTTTCTGGATTCACTTCAAAGGCTTCAGGGTGGCTACGTTTGCATTTTAACTGTGAAACCCCAGCAAACACGGCTCGCCTTTCCCTATTCTCATACGCTGCGCCCCGAGCCGTCACTGGCGTAGATTCGGTGTTGTGCGGATAAGGCTCGAGTCGACCGGGATGCTTCAAAGGTGACGACATTTATTTGAAGAGGTCCCAGTTGGGATATCGAGTAGCAGCAGCATGAGGCATTCGAGCTCCAAAACAGGAACCATTTTCTGAGCGCGTGATCAGTTGGTCAGTGGAATCATTTGCCCAAGATGGTTCCTCAATCAATCACGAGGGTGTCTATGAATAGACTGCTAGATAAACCATGGAGGCGCGGGAGCCCTGATTGCAAAGAAACTTGTGCATGTGCTCAATTAAACACGCCCGAATGGCCCCGTTCCTCTTCAGCAAGACCGCTCGCGGGTGGGAAGCAAAATACAGGTCTGTTACCGCGCGACTTTGGGCTTCGCACGGACCGACCTCGCACCGCGCCGCCGCAGGGGCGGCCACTACGACATCCAGGAATTTCTTTCCGTTTCTTTACAATTTGCACATAAAGCCTGGAAAGGGCTCGGGGAGAAGCCGCCGATCCTTAGAGGCCGCCTCTACGGCTGGGGCTCT